CCCCAAAACCCCAAAACCCCGTTTAGAATAATAAACAGATATTATGATGATATATTGTAATAAATAAACCAAATACAGTGAGTTTAGTCTGAATGTATCAAGCAAAGACATCTGTTGAGCCTGATAAGCTATTTATCAAGAGTCATATAATCCTGTCTGACGGTTAGATTTAAGTCCTATTTGGGGGAATGAAGCCAGTGTTTATGATGAAAGCACTCAAACTCGCCTACGACAAAGTTGTCAATTACTTTGATGAGCTTGATGTAGATATCTCCTACTTTGTCGAAAACTTTGTCCCACCAGACCAGCAAATCAAGAATCAGGGACCGATTGACCAAGATTAAATAGACAAGATGCTTAAGAAGCAAAGAAAATAACTTCCTAAGAAAAAGAGGCAGAGGAGATTTGAGGAGAGTGCATTGCTCGAAAATAGCCAGATATAACCTGATTCATCAGATTAATAGCAGAATCAAAGCTTAGAGGATAAAGTCAATGAGGAGTAGCTACAGCTCCTAGAGTCAATTATGAACGATTCGCATACTAATACCAGAGACACAAGAACAACGAGAGACACAAATGAAAGCACAGTCGAAAATTCTCATTTCATAAATGATTCTAGTAGGATGAGTAGTAAAGCCAAGAAAATTAAGAAGCTATTTAACGTTGAAAGAGTATCAAAGGCTAAAGATCAGTATAGCATAGCTGAAAGTAATTAGTAAATGTAATAAATCCAAGAATTGGAAGAGGAAAAGGATAATATCTGGCTTGTAACTCAATAAGACTGGAATACCAAGCTAGGAAGAAGGTCGTAAGTATATCAAGAAGATTTGACCATCGCTGAAATGTAGAAGCAAATCTAATAAGATAAAGTATTGAAAGAACTCAAACTCAAGTAATAGAGGATGCAAGAAGAGAAGAAGAAAAGGCAGAGGGAAGAAAGAAAGTAATAGATTCAAGAAGTTGAAAGGCTGCTATTAGAATCTGACAATGAGACTGCTTATCCAACATTAAACAAGATTCCTGGATCGCCATTTGCCTAGATCCCTAAGAAGGTCCTTGCTATTGCCAGTGAAAAAGCAAACGATATCTATGATACAGTTCATATGTATTACTTATGCAGCTGGCACTAAGATTATCAGGGGACCTTCTACACTCCTAGTCTCGTCCCCTCATTTCTGCTGAAGGTGTTAGACTAAGAACAGTTGATTATAAACTTTTACCAAGCCTCCAATAGACTAAACTCAATGAAAGAGAGATTTTATAAGGAGGATAATGAAGCTTAATGAATGTTATTTGGAACTATCTAAAAGGATTTGAATTCAAGTTTGAATTTTTATATTTTCAGGATTTATTTTGATTTTAAGGATATTTTAATATTAGTGCAATTTCCTTAAATTAAAGTCATAAATATATTGCGGGGTTTTGGGGTTTTGGGG